AATGAAAGCTGATATCTGTCCAAATGTACATGAATGAGCGTTGATAAAACGGCACACAGTGAAGCGCTTGATGGAGCCGCGTCTGCGCTCGCTCTCTCCCTGTGAGCCGTCAGACGGAGACTGAACTCGGGATAATGAAGCTTGTCTGAGAGATCAGCCTGTCACTTTACAACAAAATCTCATTAGTTTGAAGAGACCTCTCCGTGTGGCGTGTGATCCCATTTCCTTCTCCGAGGGGGAGCGTGAAAAGAGCATTAGCAGTTGTGGAGCCGTGGCCTAGCGTTAGTTCAAGCCGCGATGCTCATGTGGGAATCTGAGGTTTGATTCCAGCCTGCTTTGTGTCCCGATTCCATTCCCTCTTGTTTCTCAATTATTTAGTGTATCCTAGTACCAACGACTAGTTCTTATCGGCTTAAAAAACACATGTACCAAGCAGGGGCGTAGCCAGAATTTTATTTTTGGGGGGTCCCGTCTTTAAATGAGGGGGCAACATATATATATAGCCAGAATTTTATATATACAGGCCTATTCTGGTGGGTGCGGTGATGCGGTGGCGACTCATGTAACATGTAAGGGTGGCGCTGCCAATAAAGCACCTAAAAGCTGTCACAAAGAACCAGCAAAAGTAATGATTATGAATATGTAAAATATAGCAAGGAGATATTTTAATTGTTTATTAATAAACAAGTGTTTTCTTTGTCGGCTAAGATGAAGTTGACGATGCTGACTCGCGATCTTCAGTAGTGAACGCGCCAGAGAGAAATGCACATTTCATACGGATTACATAAGCAGAGAGCAGTCTGTAGTCTGTTTTCTTTCGTTTTGAATTGTTCTGTTTAAAAGTAGACATGTGAGGCAAGTAGGCTACCTTATACGCTGAGTTTCGGTTCATTTATGAGACGAACTCCAGTTCACGCGCCGGCACCTCCGTTTCTTATCTATCGTCTGCTATATTTACTTCTTATTTATTAAATCCAGACAATTGGTTGATGAAACATTGATTAAAATTAAGATACAATTAATACAAAACGAAATTCGGGTTAAAGAAAGGTTTTGTGCTTTCTGTTTGATGTCTCTGTAAAAGTTTTAAAGCATCTTTTAGTGCCGCTTTCAGAGCGCTCACGTCCGTAACGGAGAACACGTCCGTAACATTGTTTTTTCCACATAAATGCGAACACAAAAAATAAAATAAAATGAATATTTTATGTACTGTGGAGACTGAGAGGAAACCCTTCTTCATCCGGTGGGTAGTATTACTTTGGTTTGCGCAGTGTAATTCACATAATCACTAAAAAAATATTTTGCCTCCTAATTTTTTTTTTTTTTAAGCAATCAGAAATCTCGTGGCCACGCCACTGGTACCAAGTAGGGGTGCACCAATAGGATTTTTTGGGGCCGATACCGATTTTAACAAACAATTATTGGCTAATACTGGCTTATTTTAACTTTTGTCATTAAAATAGTGTTTTGATCATGTTTTAACCCTGGGACCAAATGGACCCGAAGAATTTAAATAAAAAAATGTGTAAAATCATAGCTTCATCGGAATGGTCCGAAATTTGGTGACTTTGTTGGTACTTGGTATATGAACACCCAAAAAAATTGGGGACAGGATTTGAATAGTCTAAGTGGTTGTAAAAAAAATGGTCACACTCAGGGTCTTCGGGTCCAAATGGACCCGCCATAGGAAATGAATGGGAAATTGACAAAAATGTGACAATACAGAGTTGTTTTGTGCGTACAATCAACAAATCAGCCACGATCCAGAAAAAAAGCACACAACAGTGAAGGGGTGAATCTATAAAACATCAAGAGTGCAAAACAGACACATCCACACACACACACACACACACACACACACACACACACACACACACACACACACACACACTTTTATACACAAACACACTAATAAATTCAGATTACATAAATATGTTTTGAATTTTTAAAAATCACAGCTTCATCGGAATGTTACGAAACTAGGTGACTTTTATGGTATTAGGTATGTGAACAAACAAAAAATATTGAGGTCATGATCCAAGCATGCTAAGTGGTCGTCACACTTCTGCTCTTTGGTCAAAAATGACCCCCATAGGAAATGAATGGGAAATTGTCAGAGTTTTTTTTTTTTTGCATACAATCTACAAATCAGCCAGGATGCAGAAAAAAGGACTCAACAGTGAAGGGGTGAATCTCTAAAACATCAAGAGTGCAAAACAGACACACACACATACACACACACACACACACACACACACACACACACACACACACACACACACACACTGTATTATATATTTATAATAATCTGTATTATAAAGTAAAACTGGCACTTCAAATTACCATTTAAACCAAACAAACAAACAAAAAACAAGACAAAAATAGTCTTTGAGAATCTGTTATTATATTTTAAAATCAACAACCTGAAAAAAATTGTCAAAGATGTGCAAAACTCACAAGAATTCTGAACCCTTTCTACAGAGAGCTGTAAATCCACTAGTGGTAAAAATGTGCTATTGCGTGATAAAAATGCTCAGTGTGTCCAGCAGATGGCATCCATCTCATTTCAAAAATTGTTTTCATGAGGCCTAGGCTCGACTCTAAAATGAAATACAGCTTTAAATTTTTTTTTTTTTTAAATACATATTTAAAAAAATATATATATTATATTCAATGGGAAAAAATGGGTCATAATTATTGCATAAATATTAATTATAAATCATAAAATTTTCTCAAAACACCAAAAAATAAAAGAAAAAAATTTATAAAAAACAAGTAAAAAAAAAAATATATGATTTTCTTTTAATAAATATGAATCAAACCCTTCCGGACCATTTGGTCCCGAAGACCCTGAGTGTGACCCTGAAATGAAGGACCCCAGAGGGTTAAATCAGCAAAGTTTTAAAAAAAAACATGCATTAAGTTACTAATAATAATAATAATTCATCACATTTATATAGCGCTTTTCTGGACACTCAAAGCGCTTCACATGGAAGGGGGGGATCTCCTCAACCACCACCAATGTGCAGCATCCACCTGGATGATGCGACGGCAGCCATATTGCGCCAGAACGCCCACCACACACCAGCTTACTGGTGGAGAGGAGACAGTGATGAAGCCAATTGGTATATATATACATGGGGATGATTAGGAGGCCATGATGGACAGAGGCCACTGGGCAAATTTGGCCAGGATGCCGGGGTTACACCCCTACTCTTTCGAAAGACATCCTGGGATTTTTTGTGACCACAGAGAGTCAGGGCCTCGGTTTAACGTCTCATCCGAAGGACGGTGCTCTTTGACAGTATAGTGTCCCCATTACCATACTGGGGCGTTAGGACCCACACAGACCACAGGGTGAGCGCCCCCTGCTGGCCTCACTAACACCTCTTCCAGCAGGAACCTGGTTTTCTCAGAAGGTCCAGGTCCAGGTACTGACCAGGCTCAACCCTGCTTAGCTTCAGTGGGCAACCAGTCTTAGGCTACAGGGTGATATGGCTGCTGGCTTGTTTATTGCTGCATCATCAAACAGTTTCTAATGAACATGGATTGGGTCCATTTAACATTCAGCAGGCCAACATAAATACACAACAGAACAAAGATACATGTGAAATAAACAGTGCTTTTTAGATGTTTCAGGTACAGAAATAAAGTAAACTGTAATAACACTGCATTCTCTTCACTGTATAAATTAAATACATATACTATTATGGCGTTGAGACTTAACTAAATTCTACTGTACAACAGTAATATATTTCTGTCACATTTACTTTGTTACACTGAACTTTTATTTTGACGGGTTGCCGTGAAGACCTTCGAGCTTCTGTGTGTTTGATATGACGATAGTTTTGTCAAATGAAATGGTAAAATGCTGATGAAGTGACTCTGGTGATGAAGTTCTCATATAGTGAAAAACACGGCGAGCGTCATGCGTGCTTCAGTGTGTGTGTGTGTGTGTGTGTGAGAGAGAGAGAGGTAAATGAAACCGCACATCTGCGCCATTCATTCACACAGTAACACGCAGAACATGCAGGATTCATATTTAAATAATCTTTTTGCATCTTAATATTCACAGACACTAGTATATATCACTATTTTTTTTACTATTTAAGTTTACTGACCTACTTTTTATTTATTTATCAAACCTTTGACAAATTCGCATATTCATCCTTATGAAAGTTAAAAAAGTTATTTAGTCAAGAGTAGTGAGTGATTTTTTTTGTCTTTTGTTGTTTGATTTACATTAAAACTCAGACTAAGGAATATTAGAGTATAATCTTGGATATGCAACAGACATTATACAGCTCAGTGCTTTCATCTGTTAATTAATAATCCATTAATTTGTTATATCGGCCTGTTTCGTGCCATAGCCAAGATGCCAATGGTTGTAAATTGATCGAAAATCGTCCGATACATCGGTGCATAGTACCAGGTCTAATGTATTCTTAATTATGCTGGTTTAATATGGTTTAAGATGAAATCAGTTTTATTTAGGTGCAGTTTCCATCCGGCCCTGCTTATGTCTCTATCTCTGTCAGGTCTCGTTTCTTTCGCCCTATCTTACCCCGTTTCTTTAATTGCATGCTCCATCACGCTCTTGACACGAGCCGCAGATTTCTCTCATCCGCTGATATCTCTCTCCGGTCACAAACCGCTCGCCCCAGGGCATAATGGGAAAACTCTCCGCTTTCATCGAAGCTGCTAATCTTTAAATAAAAGCCTTGCGATTTTTGAGAAAGCTCTTTGTTGCCAGGTTTTCTCCGGAGACGTTGGCGGCGTGCCGAGGATGTGACAGAGCGTGTGAAGCGGGAGACAGAGTGATCAGTAAAGTGGCGTACCGCTAATGTGTGTATCGTGCAGATCAGCTGTGATGTTCCTCAGTCGCAGAAGTAGGCCAGAGCTGCCAATAATAACCCGGCCTTGTGAAGCACAACTTAGAGCATCGTGGAAGACAGTCTGACTATTCCTTTCAGCTTGACTGATCTGGTTTTCATTTTCAGGGTTTTCGATTATCAACATGTTCCGGTCTCTGTGACGTGTGACTTTGCTCCTTTCGGACGGACGTGTTCCTCTCCGTCTCCATCTTCTGCAGACCTGCGGCAAAGCAGAGACAAACCTCAGAGCAAACACAAGTCCCGGAGCAGAGGAACCCAGCGTAAGAAGCACTCGCCTCTTTCAGAGCTTAAACAGGACCTGTTATGCACTTTCACGAAGTCTTGATGTTGTTTCAGGCTCTACTAGAACAGGTTTTCCTGCTTGGATGTTGATTATTTCCCCATATTCTCCATTGTTGCGGCTCCTCTCTTCCCAGTCTGTCAGTAACGCTCTGTTTACTTCCTGTCGCTATGAAGCCCCTCCTCCTGAAAAGCACACTGTGCTCTGATTGGTCGGCTGGAGCGGTGTGTTGTGATTGGTCGAGCGCTTCGAATGTGTGTTTGGCAAATGTCCCGCCCCTTTCCATAACCGCCAGTTTAACACACTACTAACTAACTCAACCAGGCCCCGCCCCTTTATTCTGCATATTCATTATTTAAATGAGGAATATTGTGATGTGTTCGTTCCCGGAAGAAACTCGAGACTACAATGGAGGCGTTTCAGGAGTTCAGAAACACTGACACTGAAGAACTGGAGCTCAAACAGCAACATTACACACTAAAGAAAGATGAACATGGAGAAAAGCAGAATAGGTCCACTTTATGACATAATCAAAACCCCATTAAAACAAAAATCTAAATTTTGAAGTGTTCAGTTTTGGAAAAAAAAAAAGCTTTGAAAAATACAACTACAGCTAAATACAAGTTACTATATTCAACTTCTACTATATATTATAACTTATACTATATATTATAGTAAGTACTGTATGTATGTATATATATATACATACACAATTAATCAATTGACTTTTCTCTTCAACGAAAAAGGGCTGAAAATATTGATGACATCATCTCGCACTAAGGGGAATATGCACTAAGAATTTGACTAATAATAGCAAATAGCAAATCCTGGTTTTGCTGCGCTGTATAAACTAAACCCAATTGTTTTTTTTATTTATGTTACGCACAATCTAAACTTGACAATCTAAAGATGCTAAATAATCTAAAGTTAATTAAACTCTCAGTATGTTTATAGCAAACTCCGCAACTTTAAGTGAACTCTATCGCCCCCTTCAGTACTGGAGTCCATCACTGTAATCTCTCTGTGTCTGTCTTGTGACAAATCTCAGCTCGTCTCTCGTCTCCATGTTTTCTACCCCATTGTGTTGGTATATGTTGCATATATAAGAGTGTGTGTGTGTGTGTGTGTGTGTACGTGCATGCTCCTCTGCTGTTGAACTCCAGATGGTTTCTTCATTAAAATCCTCCCTTCGCTATAGGACTACTCCCTCCGTAATCAAACCTAGCCTATCACCAAAAGCAATTATAGCAAATTAATAGTGCATAACCAATAAGAAGCGTTTATAGTGCTTTATTACAAGGCCTAATAGTTTTTACTGCCAGCAGATCACAGTAGAATGAGTTTGCCTTTGTAGCTGGGAGGTCAAACCGCTTTTTAATGGCTGCTGCCGAGCCGGAATGGGCTTTTTTATCCAGCTGGGATTGGAGGGGTGTTTGTGTAGTATTATCACGCTGTGCAGAAGAGGTCCAATCTAAGTTTCCATCATTAGAGACATTAGAAGAGTTGCTGATATCCGGGCTTGTGCGGAGAATGAATTAATCCCTGAAACATCTCCTTATTTGACTCGTGAAAGTCCAGCAGTTTGACTTTGGTTCTATAAAAAAACGTTTAAAGCTAAAGTAAGGTTTTTTTAACGGTCCTTAAACCCTCATCCTTCCCTCTTTTCTTTTTTTTTCTTTTATTGAAAAAATTGAGTGTTCATCAGAGAAGTCCAAGACCCCAGGACTTTTGTCGCATTTGAACCACAAATTCACACACAAACAAAAATGTAATTGATTCGAGGAGTTCTGTGGTTGAAATTTAAAAAAGTAACAATGTGGGTCATTTTGACCCCCATAGGAATGAATGTAAATCGAGGAATGCTTCAGTACGCATAGAAAAACCTAAAAATGCTCAAAATTCAAACTAAAAATGCTAAAACTTTACCAAAATAAACCATATAAAGACAAACTTTACCATATAAAGATATAAGGCCATCTAGTGGCAAGAGTCATTAAATATCATTGTAGCAATGTTCAGGGAAGAAGGAGGCGGGAACCGGCGGACAATCAAATTAAAACTTTATTTAAATGAAATAAACACAATACCTGCCAGCAGTCCCTCACGGAACTGCTGGCTACCCAAAATAAAAAATAACTACCTGCCAGCAGCCCCTCACAGACGACTGCTGGCTACCAAAATAAAATAAAATAAAACACAAACAAAAGCAGGCCTGTTCCTCTCTCGATCATCCACTCCGTCGCTCCTCCTTTATGCTTCCGCTCCTCCGTGAGAGATGCGAGACCGGTGTGCTTCACAGGTGCTGCTCATTAGCAATCGCACCACCGGCCTCGCGACGTTCTCTCACGTCCCTCGGCCGTCCTGCTCACCACAATCATGTTATATCATTTTTTTCCACAAGAGGTCGGCAAAGACCCCCAATGTAAGATATTGTGAGCTGAATTACAGTTTTTCTGAATTGCTAAAACACATTTCTTGAAAGTAACCATCACTCAATTTCTCAAAACCATAAACACAAAAACAAATTTTCAAACCACATTCACAGAATCTCTGACTCTTCTGGCAAAATCAAACAATGCTTTCAGATCATACACACATGAGTCAATATTATACACACCACAGATCATTCATTCTCTACATCAAAAAAGTATAGTAATGACAACTTGCAGTGCATACAGTATTTATTCACCTTACTACTGCAAGTATAGTATTGTACTGAATATTGTATAGTATTGAATGCCGTATTCGGCACGTGTGTACTGTGAAAATACAGTGACCCAACTGCAAAAGCCAAAAAGGTCACAGTAAAAAACTCTATATGAAAATCATGTCACAGTCACTCAGAAGAGTTTTGCAACATTCAAAATCAAGGTCAGTGAGAGATTGATTCTGCTTCAGCTTCATGTCTTCATGTTGGTCCGGCCGTTTCTCCTTGACAACACTACACCCGCTCTTCCTCGTCCTCATCCTCTTCCTCCTTATACACCTCCTCTTACTCAAACTATTCCTCCTTATACACCTCCTCTTACTCATCCTCTTCCTCCTTATACACCTCCTCTTACTCATACTCTTCCTCCTTATACACCTCCTCTTACTCATCCTCTTCCTCCTTATACACCTCCACTTTCTCAAACTCTTCCTCCTTATACACCTCCTCTTACTCATCCTCTTCCTCCTTATACACCTCCACTTTCTCAAACTCTTCCTCCTTATACACCTCCTCTTACTCATCCTCTTCCTCCTTATACACCTCCTCTTTCTCATACTCTTCCTCCTTATACACCTCCTCTTTCTCAAACTCTTCCTCCTTATACACCTCCTCTTACTCATACTCTTCCTCCTTATACACCTCCTCTTTCTCATACTCTTCCTCCTTATACACCACCTCTTACTCATCCTCTTCCTCCTTATACACCTCCTCTTACTCAAACTCTTCCTCCTTATACACCTCCTCTTTCTCATACTCTTCCTCCTTATACACCTCCTCTTTCTCATACTCTTCCTCCTTATACACCACCTCTTACTCATCCTCTTCCTCCTTATACACCTCTTTCTCATACTCTTCCTCCTTATACACCTCCTCTTTCTCATACTCTTCCTCCTTATACACCTCCTCTTACTCATCCTCTTCCTCCTTATACACCTCCTCTTACTCAAACTCTTCCTCCTTATACACCTCCTCTTTCTCATACTCTTCCTCCTTATACACCTCCTCTTACTCATACTCTTCCTCCTTATACACCTCCTCTTACTCATCCTCTTCCTCCTTATACACCTCCTCTTTCTCATACTCTTCCTCCTTATACACCACCTCTTACTCATCCTCTTCCTCCTTATACACCTCCTCTTTCTCATACTCTTCCTCCTTATACACCTCCTCTTTCTCATCCTCTTCCTCCTTATACACCTCCTCTTACTCAAACTCTTCCTCCTTATACACCTCCTCTTTCTCATACTCTTCCTCCTTATACACCACCTCTTACTCATCCTCTTCCTCCTTATACACCTCCTCTTTCTCATACTCTTCCTCCTTATACACCTCCTCTTACTCAAACTCTTCCTCCTTATACACCTCCTCTTTCTCATACTCTTCCTCCTTATACACCACCTCTTACTCATCCTCTTCCTCCTTATACACCTCCTCTTACTCAAACTCTTCCTCCTTATACACCTCCTCTTTCTCATACTCTTCCTCCTAATACACCTCCTCTTTCTTCCTCCTAATACACCTTCTCTTACTCATACTCTTCCTCCTTATACACCACCTCTTACTCATCCTCTTCCTCCTTATACACCTCCTCTTACTCAAACTCTTCCTCCTTATACACCTCCTCTTTCTCATACTCTTCCTCCTTATACACCTCCTCTTTCTTCCTCCTTATACACCTCCTCTTACTCATACTCTTCCTCCTTATACACCTCCACTTTCTCAAACTCTTCCTCCTTATATACCTCCTCTTACTCATCCTCTTCCTCCCTATACACCTCCTCTTTCTCATACTCTTCCTCCTTATACACCTCCTCTTACTCATCCTCTTCCTCCTTATACACCTCCTCTTACTCATCCTCTTCCTCCTTATACACCTCCTCTTACTCATCCTCTTCCTCCTTATACACCTCCTCTTTCTCATATTCTTCCTTCTTATACACCTCCTCTTACTCAAACTCTTCCTCCTTATACACCTCCTCTTACTCATCCTCTTCCTCCTTATACACCTCCTCTTTCTCATACTCTTCCTCCTTATACACCTCCTCTTTCTCATACTCTTCCTCCTTATACACCTCCTCTTACTCATCCTCTTCCTCCTTATACACCTCCTCTTACTCATACTCTTCCTCCTTATACACCTCCTCTTACTCATACTCTTCCTCCTTATACACCTCCTCTTACTCATCCTCTTCCTCCTTATACACCTCCTCTTTCTCATCCTCTTCCTCCTTATACACCTCCTCTTACTCATACTCTTCCTCCTTATACACCTCCTCTTTCTCATACTCTTCCTCCTTATACACCTCCTCTTACTCAAACTCTTCCTCCTTATACACCTCCTCTTACTCATCCTCTTCCTCCTTATACACCTCCTCTTACTCATCCTCTTCCTCCTTATACACCTCCTCTTTCTCATACTCTTCCTCCTTATACACATCCTCTTACTCAAACTCTTCCTCCTTATACACCTCCTCTTTCTTCCTCCTTATACACCTCCTCTTTTTCAAACTCTTCCTCCTTATACACCTCCTCGTCCTCATCCTCTTCCTCCTTATACACCTCCTCTTTCTCATCCTCTTCCTCCTTATACACCTCCTCTTACTCATCCTCTTCCTCCTTATACACCTCCTCTTACTCATCCTCTTCCTCCTTATACACCTCCTCTTACTCAAACTCTTCCTCCTTATACACCTCCCCTTTCTCATACTCTTCCTCCTTATACACCTCCTCTTACTCAAACTCTTCCTCCTTATACACCTCCTCTTACTCAAACTCTTCCTCCTTATACACCTCCTCTTACTCATCCTCTTCCTCCTTATACACCTCCTCTTTCTCATATTCTCCCTCCTTATACACCTCCTCTTACTCATCCTCTTCCTCCTTATACACCTTTTGATTTTGAATTTAAGTTGAAAGAATGTGACGAATGTGTATTTATTATTTATTGATCTAGTAATTTAAAGGTAAATAAAATAAAACATAACAAAAAGATCTCCAAAAAATATCATCAAAATGAAATAAAATAAGCTTTCTGGACAAAAAAAAATTAAGTATAATTGTGGGGCTTTGGTTCATTTTGACCCGCGAGGGAAAGATGTGTTACAAAGTGCGAGGGAAGGATGAGGGTTAAAATGGTGAAAACACTCAATTGTAGCCTAACCAATGGTGTGTGTTTGGGGCGGGGCTACATGTGTGTCCAACCAATGACAGGTGGCGAGTGGGACAGAAAGGACAGCAGGGAAACCTGTTTGGAAACAACTGTAATTTTTGCAGTTTGTTTGTTTTTGCTACTGGCACAGAAATGTCACACTTATGTACTGATGTCCTGAGAAATCATCTGTCTCTGTGAAAGACCTAGACACTGTAAACAGCAAAGAATAATCATTTTGTGTGGCCTTTCAGCCAAGGTTTGTGTAAGTTAGCATAATGGCTACATCTCAGCATCTTAATTTAAAGCTGCAGTATGTAATTTCTACTCCATAGTGGTGCCAGTATGCTTGTTTGATTGGTCTGACATAGCAATATTGGTGTAATTGTTTTGTCCCCCAATGCCTTTAGTTTGGAGCGGGACCATTTGTCAGACCGATAGCTTCATTCACACCATGTCCTAATTACCACACATACTAAATGCAAACCCAGAAGTTATACTTGGTGCTGTTTATCTTCTTGGACCAAAATGCCAATTAAACAAAACCACAATACAATAAGTAACAGTCATTATGCAAATACATTATTGATAAAATGTTAAAGTTTATTTAGCAGGATATTGGACATAAGTAATCCAACTCTATAATAAGCTACATTAAACTGTATTGTACTTTGCTTATTTTTAGATTGAAATTGCATTATTAAGCATTAACAACATTCAGAAAATTCCAAATTGTAATTACGAGTTCAATGTCGGAATGTCATATTTACAGTAATTCCGACATGGTGTGAACGTCCCTAATGACTTGAATACATTATTACATTTTTTTTTAAATATCACACTTCAACTTTAATGTAAGTACCTCCATATTTTTCAGCTGCTGCTGATTATCACTGTATATGCTGAACTCAACAGATGCGCTGACCCTGTCCTTCTCTCTCCGCAGTAAGAATGGAGGAGCTGATGTGCATTAAGAAGGAACTGACCGTGATTAAATCACAGATAGACGAGCTGCTGGACAGTCTGGAGCAGATGGACCCTCAAAACCAAGAGCTGTGCGGTAAAACACTCATTCTTTCATTGTTATGAACCAGCCCAGAGACTGGCTCGTATTTGTGATGTTATGTCTCACAGTTTGGGCAAGTGGGATGTCCAAAGAGACAGTGCCTTGTCTCTGTCCTTGCCCAGCTGGCATTCGACTGACATTAAACGTTTAAATGTGGTTGAAATAATGTCAGTTTATGAAAAAACATTAATTCAACGTTAAAACAACGTTGAACACCAAATAGTTGAAGTTGTGTTGTTGACTCACTACGGATTCAACATAGAAATATAAAAAAAAATTGAGTTGTACGTCAAATCAACATTATTTTTACAACCATGACTTTTAAACATTTTGTTGAAATATATCAGTAGAAAAATAACGTTATTCCAAAATCCAATTTGCAATCTGATTTGCAAAATCGAAACAAAATTCAACGGTTATCCAACACTGGCACCAGACGTTGATTCAACAGTGACTTGACGTTAAAATGCCAGCTGGGTGATCTTCTGTTTGATGCCATTTAGTGTTCTTTTGTGTGTGTGTGTGTGTGTGTGTGTGTCTCAGGAGACGGTGTGGCGTTCTCTCCGCTCCACGGCTCTGTGAGCAGTGCGGACGACTCGTCTGGTAGCTCTCCTCCCTCGAGGACCGACAGAGAGACACAGAGTCCACAGACAGCAGTCAACAGTGATGAAGACAGACAGCATGTAAACACACACACACACACACACACACATGTTGTGTTTTCATGTTTTATGAAGACTTTCCATAGACATAATGATTTTTATACTGTAAAAACTTTGTATTCTGTCCCCTTACACTGTCCCTACCCCTAAACCTTCCCATCACACAAAACTTTCTGCATTTTTATATTTTCAAAAAAGCACAATTTATTATGTTTATTAATAAATTTCCCCTGTGAGGACCAGCCAGCGGTCTTCACAATGTAGGTAATCTCAGGTTTTACTATCCTTGTGGGGACATTTGGTCCTCACAAGTATACAGTGGGGGACATAATTATTTGATCCCCTGCTGATTTTGTAAGTTCGCTCACTTACAAAGAAATGAAGGGTCTTTCATTTTTATGGTAGGTTCATTTTAACGGAAAGAGACAGAATATCAACCAAAAAATCCAGAAAATACATTATATAAAGGTTGTAAATTGATTAGCATTTGATCGAGTGAAATAAGTATTGGATCCCCTACTAACCAGCAAGAATTCTGCCTCCCACAGATTGGTTATGTGCCCATGTGAAACACAGATTAGTCCTGTGACTTTAAGAAAGTATACCTAATGTCAGCTCATTATGTGTATAAAAGACACCTGTCCACAGAATCTGTATCTTCCATTCCAACCTCTCCACCACCATGGGCAAGACCAAAGAGCTGTCAAACGTCAGGGACCAGATTGTAGACCTGCACAAGGCTGAAATGGCTACAAGACCATCAGCAAGAAGCTTGGTGAGAAGGAGACTTTTGTTGGTGTGATTATTCAGAAATGGAAGAAATACAAAATGAAAAATCAGTCGCCCTCGGTCTGTAGCTCCATGCAAGATCTTGCCTCATGAGGTAAGGCTGTGGTCAGATGAGACCAAAATTGAGCTCTTTGGCATCAACTCAACTCGTCGTGTTTGGAGTTAGAGCAATGCTGACTATGACCCCAAGAACACCATCCCTACAGTCAAGCACGAGGTGGAAACATCATGCTCTGGGGCTGTTTCTCTGCTAAGGGTACAGGACGACTTCACTGTGTTGAGGGGCTGAAGGACGGGGCCATGTACCGTAAAATCTTGGACGAGAACCTCCTTGCCTCAGCCAGAACACTGAAGATGGGTCATGGATGGGTCTTCCAGCATGACAATGACCCAAAACATACCACCAAGCCAACAAAGGAGTCGCTCAAGAAGAAGCACATTAAGGTCTTGGAGTGGCCTAGCCAGACCATAATCCTATAGAAAATCTGTGGAGGAAGCTGAAACTTTGAGTTGCCAAGCGACAGCCAAGAACCCTTAAGGATTTTGAGAGTATCTGTAAAGAGGAGTGGACCAAAATCCCTTGTGAGATGTGTGCAAACCTGGTGACCAACGACAATAAACATCTTACCTCTGTGCTTGCCAACAAAGGTTTCTCCACCAAGTACTAAGGCATGTTTTGCTTGGGGATCAAATACTTATTTCACTTACTAAAAATGCAAATCAATTTATAACCTTTATATAATGTGTTTTTTTCTGGATGTTTTGGTTGATATTCTGTCTCTATCCGTTAAAATGAACCTACCATAAAAATGATAGACCCTTCATTTCTTTGTAAGTGGGCGAACTTACAAAATCAGCAAAATCAGCATCAAATAGTTATTTCCCCCACTGTAGCTAAACATGCCCACACATACACACACACACACACAGAGGAACAATGTGATTAAATGGATTTTACCCATAAATTAAAACTGCATTTCCCTTTTGAATGGGAACTCACACAGCTTGACCGGTGTCTGAAGCACGCATCTAAATGCGACAATTGTATTGGTTCGCAACAGCCTATGATGTCACTACCAGTACAAGAGTACAAAAGGGCACCTGAGGAACACGTCATCCTCTTCTTTGTCTTCAGGAGCCGTTTGTCTGTATGCACGTATCAGACAGAAACGCCACGGGTGAAGCGCGTTTGACTCCTCAAGCTGGATATGCTCACATGAAAGAGACTGGTAAAAAGCTTTGTGCTTCTTTTTTCTCTCCTGAGGGATAGTAGTCATCGTTTGCACGAGTGCATACAGCTCTTGAGGGAGATACAGGCACTCTTAGCGATGCATTCATGGCAGCAGACTCTGTTCTCACTTGTTTTCTAATTAGAGCGATAAGAGTCTAGTGTTGAACAGAGCGTTTCCGGCTCGCAAGGGAGTTGAATGTCTGCTTTGTAATGCGGTCGCGGTGAGAAGCTCCACCCATATCAGCGTTTGTATGAGCACGTTTAGCTCTGGAGAGAGTTGAAAAATTCTTGTAGCGATGCTTTCATGGCAGTAGACTCTGTTCTCGCTCGTGTCTCGTTACAGAGATCAGAATCTAGCGTTTGAACGGAGTGTGCAGCTCTGGAGGGAGTTATGCTGTGTGGTGCGGTCGCTATGCTTGACTCTCTCTTTAGTGAGAGGTGAGCATCTGCACCCTGTGTTCCGGGTCCCGGGGCCGGTATAGCATCAAGGCGGGATTGATCACAGGGTTTGTAGGTTGAGTATGGGAGGAGTCTGATGGGAAGTCCTTTCTTTTTTGGGCTCTTCTTGCTAGCTCTGATTAAGGTGAAATGTCTAATTCTGAGGAATCGGATACAGAGTGAGATGAGGCAGATGTTATTAATAAATCCACCCCAATCTGCTGTCCACACACAGGTGAAGGTTGTACTATGTCTTGAGGCAGATGTTGAAGTTGAATGGCTTTTTGTGAGCCTTTTTGACAAGTTTAGTTATGGTTGAGTGTTGTTTGTATTTCCCTCATTTTAAAGGGTCGCTATGCTGTGTACTCCATGGGGCTGAACTGCCGATGGATTTGAGATGGTTCTCAATGCAGTACATGAAATCCACGGGGAGGAGTCGGATCCAGATCCAACTCCTCCTACCTTACATATACCTAAACCTACCCATCTCCGCCCCCTGATCCCTAAACCCACCCCTAATCCCTAAACCCACCCCTAATCCTACCCATCTCCACCCCTTGGATCTTGATCCGACTCCTCCCCGTGGATCTCATGTACTGCATTGAGGTGCTACTGATGGATTTGGCAAACATAAGATCTGCCTTCTGATGGTTCGGCTCATGTCTTTAAAGTGAGCGTATGATTTCTTATCCAGAGTTGAGGATTTTTCTGCCTTCTTCTGGCGGCATTTCTCCTCTTGAGTTATTTAGCATTAAGTTCTAAGGCTCTTGCTGAGCCTCCTTAATGTAATGGTATTGATGTTATGGTTTTTGTCAGGTTAGCCACTAGGGGCCTCCCTGACAAAGCATGATGAAACTACCCTTCCTGATTAAGTTAAGTTGAATGGCTTTTGCTAAGCATTTTTGACAATCTCATTTAGTCAAGCATTGGTAGTACTCCCGTCAGAGGGTCTTCATACTGAGTACCCCGCTCCCTAAGAGCTCTATTATCAGGCGAATGGCTTTCTAAGAAAAAAAAGTGCCTTCACCAGCATGATCATAGTTGAGCGTTATTAGTACTCCCCTCGTACGCATGGTCGTTATACTGAGTACTCGCTCCCTAAGAGCTCTGTTCTTTGTAAAATCAAGTGAGTTGCTTTCTTAGGGCCTCTTTAGGGGCTTTCGGACCATGTAGTTCTAGGAGTTTAGTTCTAGGAACTAGCTACCAGGGTGGTTCCCCGAGAACTAATAGTTCCCTTAGGAACATTTTCCTGGTTGCATTTGCACCGCCAGTAGGAACTCTGAAGTGACGTAAGCCGTGTTGTTGTGACTTTTATGTTGACGGCGCTGAGAACACCAGAGCCTGAGCTCACAGCACTCGCATTCTCCGTATTCAATACTTTATGATATGAATACGTTATTAGATAGAACTGTTATACATAGAAAGTAGACCGTGAATATGAAAAGTTATTAGCGTATGCCATATGGTTGATGTCCAGTGTTGCTAAGTAGAAATACATAATCATGTTTCGCTTGGTCCCCTCACAGTTGCGATGCATTTTCCCCTCAGCGTAAAGGTTAAGAGGCACATCTATCACTGTTTTCTATGTTCGTAGAGTTAGTTTCTGAAGTAAATATATAGGCTATAATATGTGTTTACACAGCTTTTTTTTAAATGGCGGGTGCTGGTGTTTCACATACGTTTGGCCAATCAACGAACACTTTAGACCCGACTCTGAAGTAGGTGCTAAATTAGTTCCTCCAAAAGGATTTCCTAGAACTAAAATCGTTCCTAGCTCCTGCGGTGCGAAAACGCCAAAATCCAGGTACTTCTGCCAATAGTTCTAGGAACTATGAAAAGGTTCCTCCGGTGCGAAAGCCTCTCTTGATAAGTTATTTGGATTGAGCATTCCTTTAGAGGGTCATCATGCTGAGACCTTCGCTCTCTAGTTCTCCGTATGGTTAGGCATTGGAATTAACTAGGGCACCTCTCACGTTTTGCCGCTCATTAGATCTCCTTCACTTGTGCCTCCATGACTGCGGATCGATCCTGTTTGGGTTCTCTCCTCTGAGCCCTGCTGTTTCGAGTGGCAAGGCTTTCTGTGAGCCTCCTCGATAAAATGTTTTTAGGATATGGAGTGATTAGAGGAGGATCTCGTTCTGGAGAGTTGTTCTATGAGGTTTTCACTCTTCTACTACTAATATGATGTTCCAAGTGGAACGGCTTTCAGTAAGACCTGATAGGACGGCTTCCTTACAGTCGTGTCGTCAGGCCTCCTCTCATTCTAGAGAATTATCAGGTTAAGGCCTCCACAATCTAGAGCTCTTTCTTTAAACTAGCCTTGGCTGCTTTTTTAAAAAGCAGAGTGTTGTTAGGCTTTCGGTCATCTATTGAGAGTCGTTCAGTTGAAGTCTGCACTCACTTGAGCTAACCACTGGGACAGTGAATTCGAACGGCCTGGCTTTCTTTGGGAAAGGCCTCTGCTCTCCTAATGTGGGCAATATCAAGTGAAATGGCTCTCTGTGAGCCTCCTCGTTAAGCAGCCCTGGTATGAGGATGTATTACCTCCTCTTGTTTAGAGAGTCTTTCTGCAGAAGTCTGCAATCCCTGAGCTCTGTCTAGATAGCTATGTCCAGTGGTATGATTCTCCGGGACCCTTGGCAGGGTTGCCCCTAGTATAATACCTAGTTAGGCCTCCTCTTGTTCTAGAGAGTCAAGTTTGGTACTCCCCTCATTAAGAGGTTCAGTATGCAGAGTGCCTTGCTCTCTCAGTTCAGTTAATCTTTATTAATTTCCTGAAGGCAATTTGGTTGCAGCATACAAGCATGTCACATCAGAAAACACATACACGCAATACAAGGGAAGAAAAAAACAAAATTTCCTTTCTAAAATGTATTAACCTTAAATTTAAGAACTTTACAGCAGAGGGGATAAATGAATGTCTAAACCGATTTGTTTTACTAATAGGAGTTCTATACCGAATACCAGAAAACTTGTGATACATAGTGTGGGAATCATCTAACATTATGCTCTGGGCTTTACCCAAAACCTATCTGTGATATAGCTGGGCCACAGTCATCAGCTTCCTCTGTCCTCTTCCTCAGCATCACCATGACTGTGCCGCTAGGGGCGGCAGTGGCTCAGTGGTTCATGTAGGTTGTCTGCGAGCCGAAAGGTTGGTGGTTCAATCCCTGGTTCCACCTGACCAAGTGTCGAGGTGTCCATGAGCAAGACACCTAACCCCAGCTGCTCCCGACGAGCTGGATGGCGCCTTGTATGGCAGACACCGCCGTTGGTGTATGAATGAGTGAGTGAATGGGTGAATGTGAGGCAAATGTAAAGCGCTTTGGTGGCCATTGGGTCTGTGAAAGCGCTATATAAATGCAGTCCATTTGACCATTTTCCTCCCCGTTATTTTACTTCCCTGGTTTACAATCCTCTCAAGACAATTCTTGTTTTTCACATTTAGAGAAATAAACCTGTGCAACAGTGAAAAAGATAACAGCGACTCAATATAGTATATGTAGAACATACACATCAATGTTTTATCCACGTTAAATGACCTTAGTTTCCGCAAGTAATACGATCTTTGCTGCCCCCTCTTACACAAAGCTTCAGTATTTGGAGAAAAAGACAATTTGTTATCCAAGACAGTACCCGAATACTTGTACTGTTCAACACTCTCAATCAATACCCACTCCATTAGAGCTAATATAACAGGATTGTCTAGTGATGGACAAACTGTTTTTTGGGCCAAGTCTGTGTAGCGCTCCCCTCGTTTAGAGGGTTGGGATGCCGAGTGCTTCGCCCCCAGGGGCTACCGTAGTTAACAGGGGGTCTGCCGGGGCCAACATATTTATTTCAAGTAGAGAGACTTTCTATAGGCCTCCTTGACAAACTGTCAGTTCTCCCCTTGTTTTAGAGGGTCATCATGTAGAGTCCCCCAGAGCTACTTCAGTGTAGAGACCTCCCGCAGAATTCTGTCCCGCTCCCGCAAGAATATGTTACCTTCGCAACATTCATGTTTTGTCCCGCTTCTGCCCCCCCCCCAGCCCCCCCCCCCCCCCCCCCCGCGAAAAATAGATTTTTTTCTGTACGTCCATACTTGCAAGTTAGCCTACGTGTAATTACGTAAATTGCTAAAATAGTGTAATAAAGACAATTTGACCTAAAGTGCTCTAAAGTGAAAGTTACATCCTCATCAATTATGGCACTTATTGAGTGATATTTAAGGTTATTGACCAGAATAAGCCAATAATTATGGCTAAACTGTCACTAATACAGTAGGCTATTAATAAAGAAATACAGGCTAATGCTTTCGGGGTGCCTGCCACATCTCCTTTAGACAACAAGAGGATGATGTGTTCCTCAGGCGCTCTCTTATACTCACGGTCGCACTGGTAGTGACGACATAGGCTATTGCCGGCCAATACAATTGTCGCGTGTAAACACCGGTTACTCTGAGGAGTCTTGTCCCCTTCTCAGGAACCCTAGGTTACATTTTTACAGATATTGTGGCTGCTGTTAAAATAGTTAAATTAAAAATTCTTGAGATTGTGAAGCTTCTTATATTTCCTGAAGGAGATTTTATATTCATTTATTATGATTTTACAGTAGTTGAGTCAAAACCTGTCAAGAACGTGCCCAGGTTTCTTGAGACTCGCCTAGTAACAATATCTGTAGTAATAATGCCGTTTTAATGTTACCTTGGTAAATTTAAGTTATTGTGAGCGAACAAACTTATTTTTTGGACTAAAACATCTTCCTACAATATTTCAGGTTATACAATAATGATATAATATCATAGCAATTTAAGAGTTTTTGTTTAACATGTATCCATGCGTGTGTTTGTTAGGTTAATGACTATGAACCAGATTTGTTCTACATGTAAAGACTTCAGGTAAAGTAAAACCTGTAACTATTGGTTTTAAAGTTTAAATAAACTGTATGAAACTGATTCTAAGTGCTCTGTTGCTCTTTCTCACAGACACGCCAAGTTATTTGGGAAAAGCCACAGGATGAATCAGTGATGGAGTAAAGAAAAGGACCATTAAAAACGAGGAGCGATGTTTGGATAATTTCCACTGATCCGCCGACAGCTTCATCTTGTAAACTAAACATGAGCGCAGAGCTGAAGATATCAGCTTGTATCTATGAGTTCAGGAGTTCAGTGATGGACTGATGCTGAAACACTCATTCAGGATCATTGATTTCAGCTTGAAGTGTTTGAATCTGGTTTGAATCCAGTTCAGGATGATCTGTCGAAACAAACTCAACTGCTGCATTTGGTTGTCAAACGCTGCTGATGATTTTATGACTTATTTTAACCACATGGTGTTTTTCCAAGATTTCAATCAGTAAAGTACCGATACGATAATATTGAAACACAGACACACCATGTTATTGCAAATATCCTACATACATAATTTTACGATATGTACACAATAGTTATGGGTCACTGATATGGGTTATTAAACGGCTGATGCCAATAACGATATCTAAATAAATCTATATCAACTGATAACCCCATACATGACCCTGAGATATACAAATTAATTAAATTACTTATATTTATTAAATGTATGTGAGATTTAAGATTTAAAATGAGATGTATTTAAAACACTTATTTGAACCCAAATGTCATTTACTATCGGCTCATCAATCAGTCTGGCCAATTTAGTTTCATGACTAGATTTATGATCAGCATATGTCATTTTTTTCATGTAATAATGTAGCACTTATCAAAACCGTTCTTTGAAATAAGGCGTGGTAAAGCGGTTTCCCGCTGCATGCTTGTGTATCTTTCGTAATATATATCTGTGATTATGTAGAATATAATGGGAATGCTACATTGGTTTGTATCACACAATTCTGAATGTATTCACCAACAGAAATAAAAATACATTCATGTATAGTATGCAGCCTGAATATAATTTCCAAAGCCAGTATCTGCACAATCATCATGGTTTTGAACCCGAAGGCAGTCTAGCAGAGGAGAGAAGTTCAATCTTCATGACACTTTAATATGAAGGTAAAAGAGTAGCAATACTCGAGAGCACGTAGATGTGAATAAATATATTCGTACTTGTATGTGAACATTTACACTCACAGCTCTGATGTGAAAACCTGTGAAATAAAAATCTGAAGTTGAAATTTGCACTCGTAATAGTCACAAACCTGTATTCTGGATATGAAGCTGCAGACAAGCAGTCACAAATGTGTAAAATGCCATTCACAGAAATACAATGACAGTCACAAACATGTAATATATATTTGCATTTGGGACTTCTTGTACGCGATGATGTCACGAAACCCGCCTCCTGGTGGATGTTCTGAAACGCTAACATGCCTTAATGCATTAGACTGATATTAAAAGAAATAAATGATATTATCGCGAAATTTGAATTTGCAGTGACAGATTTGAGAAGTTGCAAGTGCCAAATTGAGGTTGTATTGCGAATGTGAATGTACGAATAAATGCAAATATATATTACATGTTTGTGCGTGTCATTGTATTTCTGTGCATGGGATTTTACACATTTGTGACTGCTTGTCTGCAGCTTCATATCCAGAATACAGGTTTGTGACTATTATCTGCGAGTGCAAATGTCAACTTCAGATTTTTATATAACAGGTTTTCACATCGGAGCTGTGAGTGTAAATGTTCACATACAAGTACAAATATTTATTGTACAGTTCTCAAATTCACATCTACGTGCTCTCGAGTATTGCTACTCTTTTACCTTCATGTTTTTCCACTCATCTAAAGAACCAAACCAAACAAGTTACCAGAGGTCAAAGTCCACCTGCCCTAACAGGATTTCCACTGGCTCTTCCACCACTCTTGTGTATGTAAACGACTTCAAGGTAGGATTGTATTCAGATATCTTGTCTTTGTTTTGTAGCACTTTATAGTCTAAAGGTTTGTGACACTGGAACTTTTTAAGACAGGTCTGCTTAAATATTAACCCTGCATGTGTGCTTAAGCTGGTTTGTTTTGTTGATTAACTCATTGAAACTAATCAAACAGTGTCCAGATCCTCCTCATATAACCGGCGACACACAGCCAGATGACACGGACTTCATAACAGGTAAGATCTTAATATCTTCAGTAATTCTGTTAGAAAAGGCTGATGTAGAAAGCAGTGAGTCGAGTCATTTTAAATGTGCTTCATGTTTAACATCTCCAGGTACAGATGTGGAAGTTGCCCGTACATGGTCTCAGGTTTAAGCGGTCTCAGGACGGGGTGATCTCCTGTGTGTTGTAGGGTTGAGAGCGATGGGTTCGGTGAAAGGTCCCCTCACTACACATGTGCTGAACACCGGGGACGGGGTCCCAGCGGCGCGGATGGCCCTCAGTCTACACCGCCTGGACCCCCGCATGACCGTCTGGAGCCTCGTGGCCGTCGGGTGAGTCCACACATGCCCTCTTTGGCTGTGTTTGAGTGTTTGAACATCTCCCTGACGCAGAAACACTGGCTCAACCAGTCATGTGAGTTTGGGGCGGGACTATCTGTTGGGCAACCAATGGCAGAAGGGGGAGGGGGGGTTGGAAAACCTGTTTGAAAATAGTATTTGTGGCAATTCTGTTTGGTGATATTATGGCGCCGAAATTACACTTCACCTTTAAAACAGCCAGTGAGCATTCATACAATTAATACAACTTTGTTTTGGCTCCCGATTCCAAAACTGCTGCAAATGTCTAATTCTTTTGGACAATTTATAAGAATAAAATAAACGTTAGTAATAATAAAGCATTGCCTGTATCTTACACAGAGAAAGCAATCTCAGAATGTGTAGCGACAAGCTCAGTGAAAAAATTCATCCAAAATGACAATAAATATACTTAAAATGATCAGTATGAATTATTTAGTCTCATTATAATGGACTGTTGTATCCAATATTTAGTACATTTGTATGTTTATTAGAGTCGTGTACAGTCTTGCATGCCGACTAGGTTTTACTAAAAATTACACTGTGACAAATAGTAAATAATAACCACTGCAAATAGCAAACAGACCAAAACAGTATATTCTAAAACAATATGTTCACTATATTCAAAAGCATTCTGCAAAAATAAATTAGAATATATAAATAAAACCACTTTTAAGAAATAGTCTAATTGTATTTAACATTTTAATTACTATGAATATACTGTATACAGTAATTAAAATACTATGAATATACTGTATACAGTAATTAAAATACTATGAATATACTGTATACAGTAATTAAAAATGTTATTAAAATTTTTTTGCTGGGTATTTTGAGCGTGCTGTAAAACAGAGATATTTCCAGGAAAAGGGACAAGTTCAGTCGGGACAGGACAACAAAACGCAGGATTGTCCTCAGTAAACAGGGGTGTCTGGTCACCCTATCTAGCATGCTAATGCTAATACTCAGCTCTGTAGACATCACTTGTGTCAAGTCTTCGCTCTGTCCAAAAAAAATGTTTAAATTATTGTAACAGTGTTCTGAAAACTGTTGCCATCGAAACTGTCCAAATTTGTTTGGGTCAAACTTGGAGAGGTTTAAAATCAAAACCCTGGAAAATAAATCTGTCATGATGTTGTCACTGATTTCTCCAGAAACACGGATGAGGACGGACGCTGTCCGGGACTGATAACCAGCGACGCCTTCACTCCAGGGATGTACAAGATGCGCTTCGAGACGGGCCAGTACTGGGAGAGTTTGGGACAGTCCAGCTTTTACCCTTATGTTGAGGTTTGTAGGAAAGGCTAATGGTGAACTGACTGTATTTACAGAGTCTGAATGCTAATGTGTTTCTTCTTCTTGATGCAGATCGTCTTCACTGTAAGCACTGCTGATCACAGCGTTCATGTGCCGCTGCTGGTGAGCAGATACTCGTACAGCACCTACAGGGGGAGCTAGACAGCACACACACACACACACACACACACACACACTGTGCTGCAGTTTCATTCATCACATCACAGTGGGTCAACTTCAACACCCCAGCGGTCAATTATCTGAACCTCATCCTGTTGTTGTATGTTCAATATTCTTCTGAATGACCAAAACTAAAATAAAATATTATTGTCTCAATAATAATAAACATCTCAAAGTGCTTTAAAAACAGAAAGAAAATAAAGACAAAATAAAATTCTATTCATATAATTGTTTGTGTCAAGGTTTTTATGCATTCAAATGACTCATTAAAGCAGGGATGTCATTTGTCTGTTTACAGAGGTTAGTATTTTTCAACAATTTGCTGCGTTTTCAAAAAAAAAAAAAAGCTAAGTAAACTTGCAGCCAGACTAATTATCAGTATACTTCAAGTGTGTTAATGATAGTTAACTTGAAGTGTGCTATTTTGAAACTAATTTTGTACTAAGTATATTTTAGTTAAATTGTAGTAAAGCATCATTTTTAGTGTACTTTTGTGTACTAAATTCAAGTATATGCCTGTGTAGGGACTGATTACATGCTTGATTAGTGATATTAAAGTGTAGCCTACTTTATTTGTGTTACAAGTACATTACAAATGCATTACGAGTGGCTTCGAAACACAATACCATAAGTGTATTTATATATTTTTATTATGTATTTGGCGTTTTGGCCTGTTATTAGGATCGGACAGTAGCTAGACAGGAAGTGAGGTGGGAGAGGAGCAGAGGCGGACAGAGTACAGAGCTTTGTTACTTGAGTAAAAGTACAGATACCCCTTGTTAAATTTTACTCAAGTACAAGTAAAAGTACTACATTCAGATGTCTACTTAAGTAAAAGTACTAAAGTACTTGTTTTTAAAAGTACTTGAGTATCAAGAGTACAAGAGTAGATTTTCTAAATATTGCATTACTACTGCCACAGTGCTTACATTTATGCACAGAAACGTCCTGCATGGAGTTATGAAAAATGTTAATGTTAATACCTTGGAGAATGTAAAAGGAATTGAAAGTAAAATCAAGTCATTTTCATCTTTTTACCATGTTGCTTTATTTAATTTAATTACATTTTTTGGGGGTCCCATCTTTAAATGCGGGGACAACACACACACACACACACACACCACATGTAAGGGTGGCGCTGCCAATAAAGCACCTAAAAGCTGTCACAAAGAACCGGCAAAAGGAATGATTATGAATATGTAAAATATATATATATATAAGGAGATATTTTTATTGTTTATTAATAAACTCTTGTTAATAAACAAGTGTTTTCTTTGTCAGTGTCGGCTAGATGAAGTTGACTATGCTGACTCGCGATCTTCAGTAGTGAACGCGCCAGAGAGAAATGCACATTTCATACGGATTACATAAGCAGAGAGCAGTCTGTTTTCTTTCGTTTTGAATTTTTCTGTTTAAAAGTAGACATATCTGTGAGAGGCAAGTAGGTTACCTTATACACTGAGTTTCGATTCATTTATAAGACGAGATCCAGTTCACGTGCCGGCGCCTCCGTTTCTTATCTATCATCTGCTATTTACTTCTTATTTATTAAACCCAGGCAATTGGTTGATGAAACATTGATTAAAATTAAGATAGAATTAATGCAAAACGAAATTCAGGTTAAAGAAAGGTTTTGTGTTTTCTGTTTGATGTCTCTGTGAAAGTTTTAAAGCATTTTTTATGCCGCTTTCAGAGCGCTCACGTCCGTAACGGAGAACACGTCCATAACATTGTTTTTTCCTCATAAATGCAAACCCGAAAAATAAAATAAAACAAAATTAATATTTTATGTACTGTGGAGACTGAGCGCCAACCCTTCTTCATTCGCTGGGTAGTAGCCTACTTTGGTTTGCGCAGTGTAATTCACATAATCAGTAAAAATATATTTTGCCTCCTAAAGTTTTTTTTTAAGAAATCAGAAATCCCTCGTGGCTACGCCACTGCCACATTTGAACCTGACTGTGTTAAACACACCACATACTCAAAAACATCAAACCAAATGCTTGGCTTCCATTAATGTGTAATATAAAATCTGACCATGGGGTTGACTTTGGCGGAAAGCTGAAAGTGATTGCTGATAGGCTGTCCCAATCAGTGGCGCCTGCACAATCCAATCACGTTTGAGAGGGAAACAACAAATTGAGGGTTTCCGAGATTTTTCTTCTTTTTTCCCACTTTTTTTTTTTTTTACTCGGGTACTCACGGTTATGGATAGAAATGTATTGGAGTAAAGAGTACAATATTTGCCTCTCAAATGTACTTGAGTAAAGTCATGAGTACTCCCCAAAAATGATACTCGAGTAAAGTACAGATCCCTCAAAATTGTACTTAAGTACTGTACTCGAGTAAATGTACTCCGTTACTGTCCGGCTCTGGAGAGGAGGGACGGGATCGGGAAAGGTCCAGGAGCCGGGAATCGAACTCGGGTCTCCCGAAGCACGTCAACGCACTTGCCCACTCTATCTCTTCCGTGAGCACTTAACCTAATAAAAAAATAATAAATAATAATAATCTTTCCTTATCCTTAAATCCTCTCTTCTCTGGCTTATGCAACTCTGAGCATTGTATTTTGAACATTTGTGTTGTTCATGCCTCTTCACGATGACTCGCTTGCTTTAGTCCTCATCATTTGTAGGCTAAGTTGCTTTGGACAAAAGCGTCTGGTAAATGACTTAATGTAAATGTAAATATATTTGAGTAAAAAGTATAGGCTCATTAATAGCCTACCTTTGTCTAATTCCAAATACTACAAATTGCACACTTTGTCTTCCATAACAAATGTAGCCTACATTATTAGACCAATAGCTACAGGCTACTTTGTACAAAATACTTATGTATACTATAATGTGTTTTGAAAGTATACTTTCAATGCATTCTTACAATGATCATTTCCATCACACTGTTAAAATATACTTAAAATATATTTTTAATAAAGTGCAAATAAATACACTTTTAAAAAATAAACTGAATTTTCACTTCAAGTATTTGTTTCTAAAATATATTTTTCTAAAATATACAAAAAATACAATTATTTTAAAGTGTGTTAAAAGTTGTATAGTGTATTCGGCAGGAGCGATGACGGGAACACGTCTGTCATCACTGCATCCAACCACAATGGAAATCCTAAAGGAAATTCCAATTATTAGGTTACTTTCAGAGGACACAGCAAGATGTTATCAAGTGAACGTCATTTATCAGATTACCTTATTTAAACCGATTTCTCCACCACTGTCCCGCAACGCTGTGAAACTCCTCTTTGATGGATCTCACGGGTTTGTGTTCAGGAAACGGCACAAAAACTCTCAGAAAGAGTGTGAGAGCGATGCACTTTCCTTCCCGCTCTGATACAGTGGCCTTACTAATGTGCTCTGCATCTCATATAGAAAAATGTGCAATGAATGAATGAACTGCACTGCAAAAAAAATGCTTTTCTTACTTAGCATTTTTGTCTTGTTGTTTCAAGTCAAAATAATTAAAGATTCTTAAATCAAGATGCATTTACTACATAAGAAAAACTCTAGGTTTACCGAAGAAAACCTGCTCCCGACCAGGGGTGCGTTTCCCGGAAGCATCGTTAGCCAACTATGGTCGCAAGTTCCGTCGTTACCAATAGAGTTCAATGGGAATTGCGACCAACTTGCGACCATAGTTGGCTAACGATGCTTTCGGGAAACGCACCCCAGGTTAGGTTCACAGAGTAAGTTACCATGGTAACTGACTCTGTTTTCTCAGATTTGACATACCTCCCACTCTGAAACGGAAAACCCAGAGTTTCCCTCATTTCAGGGTTAACATACTCAGAGTTTTCACTTAACCTCCTTTCTGAAACAGGCCCCTGCTTATTTTGTATTCTGTTTATGTTTTTGTAATAATAAAACATACATGCATTAGGGTTCATCTCGGACTCGCCTTCAGTGGAACTTTACATTACAATTTGTCTTCAAATATTTTTCACTGGCTATATATTTCAGTGGGAAACACAGCCTCTCATCATAGCAGTGTGACTATTTTGTCCCTTAGTGCCAGCCAGGGTAATATAAGGCAAAGTATGATGATCAGTATTGATCCAATTTGGCTACTAAATTTTTAAGCCACCAGCCACCATCACCATCAGCTTTAAAGTATGGACCTTCTTGAATTATTCTCTAAACAGTTGGCTTTCCTCATAGGTAAAATGTGTTCTGCTAATATGACAGATATGCCTATTGGGAAAATAAAAGATGTTACTAACCTGTTCAGTATAAGAAAGTTTTAAAGGGGTCATATAATGCCATTTTCACACAAGTTAATTTGATTCTTTAGGGTCTAAATGAAAAGTTTGTAATATACTTTAATTAAAAATTCTCATTAGTATTGTAAGAAAACACTCATTTTACCTGGTCAAAAACAGCTCTGTTTTCAGCACACCGTTTCTTTAAATGATAATGAGCTTCGCTGACTCCGCCCCCCTGTTCTGTGCGTTTTGACACAATGCATGTGGAGTGTTGCCTTGACAACAGTTGAGGGTATATTTTGGAGAGAGAATGGCAGCGGGAGTCTCTGAGGACACATCTGTGCAACCGTATCAGTTTGAACCGGAGTCGCACCCGGAACAAGATGACGGCGGCAAAGAAGTTCGACAATTAAGGCTCGAACAGGACGTTTCTGAATGGTTGGGTAACATAATGTCACTTTGTATGTACTGGCAGGGTAACGTTAGAGTAACTTAGTGAGATGTACGAACGCTATTTGTTTGCTGATGTATATGTACTCAGTTTGTAATCACACAATTATGAATTATATTGAGAACGTCGTACATAGAAAACATGCCGTAATGTACCCTGAGTGTAAACCTTAGGCGCATTCATCATGAAGTGTGCAAGCGATTTGCAAAGATTAATATAAAGGTTAATAAAACTTTACACTCACTTCTTCTGGAGGTGCAGCAGGGACATGAATAGTTGGTACCGATTCTTTTTTCAGGAGCAGCTTCTTAGCAAATCCAGCTTTATACTGACCCTCGTTTATAAAGCAGTCTGCTGAGAAATGATTCGCGCAAACATGAAAGCATTGACGTTGCTCGTGGGGAATATTCCCTTCGAAAACAAACTCAGCCACTGCGTCTTCAGCGGTTCGAATTTAGGAACATTAAAATGACCGCTGTGTTCGTTATTACACCCAAGAACA